TTACGGAAGTGGATTTCACACCTGCTTCCAAGCTTGTTTTAATGGGGAGCTCCACCCAACACCGTCCATCATGGGTAACCATTATCGCATTTGACACATCAGTGTTATATTTTAACTCTGAATTGAGCTGCCTGGAATCCATTCCAGGGCTCACAGAAACCAACAACACAGACTTTCGAAAAAGAACCTCTGATTTAAATACAACCTGGACCAGGACTCAAAGAATAAGTGTAGAAAAAGAAGGTTCCTTTCAAGGCCAGCAGGCCTGGAGTAAAGCCCTGGTACCCAGGCTTGGCTCTTAAGCCCCAAAAGCTGTGTCTGCGCTGCGGAGGAGAACTGGCCTGGGGAATCCCCCATGTCTCTGGAGTTTCACTTCTGCTTCTCACAATCTCTGTCAACTCCCTCTGCCTGGACACTGGTGACAAAGACCCAGTTCTCACTCCAATTGGGTCTCCGACTCTGGAGAAACCAATCACTGTCACCACGGCTCCAGGATACAAAACCCGCCTTGACTCAGTTGTTCAAGAACCACAACACCAGGACCATGACCCCTTGGATCCTCTTGCTGATGTCAGGGTCGCTCTTGACCCAGACCCGGGTGGGTGAGTGCGGGGTCAGGAGAACGGCCTCTGCGGAGGGAAGGCGGGGGTGATACCTGGGGGCATCGAGGCCCTTTGGGGACACGGAGCCTCCCATTCCCTATCACCTTCTTCCGCCCCCCTAACCCAGGACCTGCGGGGAGGCTCGGGGGTCTCACAGCTCCACCACTCCCTTCAGGCTCCCACTCCATGAGGTATTTCGAGACTGCGGTGTCCCGGCCAGGAGCGCAGACCCACTTCATCACCAGCGGCTACGTGGACGACACACAGTTCGTGCGCTTCGACAGTGACGCCCCGAACCCGAGGATGGAGCCGTGGGCGCCGTGGATGGAGGAAATGGACCAGGTGGACCCGGAGTACTGGGACCGGGAGACGTCGATCGTCAAGGAGAACGCAAAGATTTTCCGACTGGGCCTGGGAACCCTGCTCGGCTACTACAACCAGAGCGCGCTCGGTGAGGACCCCGCCCGGTGCACGCCCGAGTCCCCGAGTCCCCGGGGGGTCCAACTTCACCCCGAAGACGTGGGCGCGGCGGCCTTTGACTGAGGAAGGGCCGTGGGGTTCAGACCGGTTTCATTTTCATTTTGGAACCAGAAGCGCTCTGACCTGTCACCGCGCAGCAAAGGATAGGGGTGGGGGGAGCCAGGGTGGCGAGTGGATGGAGGGAAAACGGGACTGACCGCGGGCGGGGTCAGGTTCTCACACCTTCCAGAGTATGTACGGCTGCGACGTGGGGCCCGACGGTCGCCTCCTCCGCGGGTACAGACAATACGCCTACGATGGCGCCGATTATATCGCCCTGAACGAGGACCTGCGCTCCTGGACGGCGGCGGACACGGCCGCGCAGATCACACAGCGCAAGTGGGAGGACGCGGGTGTGGCTGAGGGCAGAAGAGCCTACCTAGAGGGACCTTGTGTGAATTTCCTCCTCAGACACCTGGAACACGGGAAGGACGCTCTGCAGCGCCTGGGTAAGAGTCTGCAGGACCTCCCAGACTCCCAGTAAGCTTTGTTCAAACTACTGGTCTCTCAGAAGAAGGTAGGAAGATGAGTTAGATTTCCGTATACCCTCATTGTACTTAATATGTCAGCAGCAAACAAATGTCAGCAGTTCAAATACACCAGTTATTCCATGGGCGACAGTTGGGCAGACTCCTGGAAAAACTTGCACCTGTTTGGGGGTCACTGTGATTTGGACAAGAAGGCAGTGGATTTGGGGTTTTCTTATTGGGTTGTATTATTGTTTTTAATTTTCATTTTTCTCATTATTGCTATGGAGAGTGAGTACTCAGCTCAGTTTTCTAAATTCTATTCTTTTTTTTTCCCCCCCATTCATTCATTGTTGCACTTTTCTTCCCTCCCAACCCTCCCTCCTAGTACACTACACTCTTGGAAAAGTAAAAGAAAAATTCTTTCATTGTTTTACAAACCCTCTCCCAGGTACACTCCACCACGTAGCCTTCGCTCTAGACTCCTATCATGAAAAAAATACTTAAGCACATATCCCTTTTAAACAGTTTTCTCCCTCATCTGTTTCAACACAGTATACATTATTGAACCCATCTTTCTCAGTCTCTCCCCAACCCCAAGGTCAGTCCTGTTTTACAACAGTAGCACCATGCAGTATTTGTCCTTTTTGTGACTGAGATAACTTCACTCAGCATAATGTCCTCCACAGTCACCCATTTTGAATAATAATGGATGAGTTCCTTGTTTTTCAGTGCAGCATAGTATGCCATTGTGTGAATATACCACAGCTTCTCTATCCATTCGTTTGTTGATGGGCACTTAGGTTGTTTCCAACTCTTTGCTATTGTGAGCAAAGCCGCAATAAACATGGGTGTGCATATATCTGCTTGGATGTCAGTTATGGTCTCTTTGGGGTAGTGGAATCTGTAGTGGAATTTCCGGGTCAAATGATATCTCTATTTGCAACTTTTTGAGAAAGCTCCATACTGCTTTCCACAGGGGTTGCACCATTTTACACTCCCAAAAACAGTGAATAAGGGTTCCAGTTTCTCCACAACCTCACCAGCATTTGTTGCTTGCTGTTCTGTTAAATTTTGCTATTTTGACTGGGGTGAGATGATATCTCATAGTTGTTTTAATTTGCATCTCTCTTAGTAAATCCTATTCTTGATTAGAGGAGCCCACATTTTTCTCTCAGAAAATGAAAGAATCTAGTTTCTTTAAAGAGAAGTGCTGTTGCTATTTACCATCGAATGCATCCTATGCACAGCTGACCCTCCTGCAGGTTTTCATAGGCAGTAATTTGCTCAGAAGTTGATTGCCTATCTTTCTCCCTTTAGAGAGTGTAAGGACTATGTTTCTCAGGGAAAAGCGCTTTCTTTGACCCAGGAATTAACCTTGAAAATCATTCTCACTCTCCAACCTTGCTCTCTACTCCACACCCAATGAGGTGGGAGGCTGTACTCCAGGTTTCTGAGTTTTTCAGTCTCCATCCAACTCAGAGCTAGAAGTCCCTCTTGTCTCCTTCTTATCCTGCAATCTTCTAATCTACACTGCTGCCAGCCTGCTTTCTAGAACTTTCCAAAGAGTAAGAGATAATCCAGATCCCTAACTAGGCTTATGTCTGGATTTTTCATTCCCTTTCCCACCCCAATCATCCTGTCCCTTCTCAGGATGATCACATAAGCCCTTCTCAGGCAGCTTAGAGGAGATAACACAGTTTCTGAATGTTCTAACTCATTCTTTCAGACCCCCCAAAGACACATGTGACTCACCGCCGCATATCTGCAAGTGAGGTCACCCTGAGGTGCTGGGCCCGAGACTTCTACCCAGCTGAGATCACCTTGACCTGGCAGAAGGATGGGGAGGACCAGGCCCTGGACATGGAGCTTGTGGAGACAAGACCTTCAGGAGATGGAGGCTTCCAGAAGTGGGCAGCTATGGTGGTGCCCTCTGGAGAGGAGCAAAGATACACATGTCATGTGCAGCATGAGGGTCTGCCAGAGCCACTCACCCTGAGATGGGGTAAGGAGAGGAATGGAGATGAAGCTTCTCCTCAGGGAAACAAGAAGAAGATATCAGAGCTCCTCACCTGCCATTTCTTTGCAGAACCATCTTCTGAGCCCAACTCCTACAACATGGGACTTATCATTGGTCTGATTATCCTTGGAGTTGTGGTCCTTGGAGGTGTGATTGGAGTTGTGATCTGGAGAAGAAAGAGTGCAGGTATTGATAAGGATGACATCTAAGTTTTCATGTCCCATGTGGGATTTCAAGTCTCAAGAAGTATATTTGCCCTCTCCTGTGTTCAAACAGAAAGTATCATTCATGCATGCTCTGACCTGGTCTAGGGCCCCAGATGCTAACAGTGAATTAATCTTTTGTAAAACACATATAAAAGTGAAGGGGAATGATAATGGAGACATGATTCCCAGTAGTCTCAGGTCACAAGGAATGTTCCTCCTGAGGACAGACTGATAGAAAGATGATTGCACATTCTTCTTTGTGTTTCCTTATCCTGCCCTGGATCTGTAGTCGTCATTCTGGAAACTTCCCCAAAGACCAGGACTACCCAGCACTGTTAGAACATTATGGTGCTACTATCTCTCAGTATCTCAGAAAATTCTTCCTTCCTGCAGGTGGAAAAACAGGAAGCTATATTCAGGCATCCAGTAAGTATGGGAGAAGGGAGGTTGATCTTGAATCTCTGGGAGACTATAGACAGAAGTCAATAGATATGTCTGTCCCCTCATTCTATTTTCCTGTTCTCCTGTGAGCTCTGATAAGATTCTGTTTTGTTCTTCTCCAGGTGGTGATAGTTCTCAGGACTCTAGTGTGTCTCTCTCAGGTTCGAAAGTAACACCTGGTGGGGTCTGACAGGGAAAGGGTTTGGGCCAAGGAGCAATCACTGACTATATTAAGGGGATTCACGGATTTTTTAATATTGTGAGATTGTAGTGAACTGGTCAAGAATGCCAAGACTTGTAGTAACTGACCTCCATTTGTTCATGATTCTTTTCTTTTGTAGCCTGAAACTGTCTTATGTGGGACTAAGAGACACAAGATTTGTTCACATCCTTTTTGTGATTCAAGAAACTGATTTTCTGCAACTAGTGTCTGAATATATCACCAGTCATAACAAAGCATCGTGATATGGAGGAGCTAATCTACCCTTCCCATCAAAACACCCTGCCCATACTAACCTATACTGCTTCTTGATAAGAAAGGTAAAATCTGAAAATTTAAGATAGGAAATAAACTAATTTCTGATAATCCATGTGTCTGCTGTGCTGTATCTGTTACAGGTGGGGACAGGAGAAGGCTGCATGTGGATGGAGTGTGTGCTCATCTAGTACTCAAGACTGTGTGAATTGTTTTTGATTGTTTGTGGGTTTTTTGTTTTTTTAATAAGTCAAACAGTCAACTTTTATTACCTCGATATCAGAAAACCTAAGTCTGAAATCTGGAAACTGGGTAACCTCACTAAGGTAGGGAAAGCCATAGAAGAGCTTCCTCAGAGAGCCCCTTAATCCTGCTACTTGCAGAAGGCCTTTCACTTGAGTCACACAGTATAGTGGCCAGCTGAGAGGAGGACACTGAATCAGCCTTCCTAACGAACCATCCCCTGTGTAGAACTAGCATCTGGGAAGAGATCACTCCCTCACCTGTGGATAGCATAGAAAGAAAGTGGTGAGAACTGACAGCTGCAATGTTCCCCTGTTCTTTGGCCACAGTGCTTCCTTTTTGAGAAGAAAATGTTGAACAATTTCTTGTCAGCCAGAGTCTAAACTCTTATTTCATTGCAAAGACTTATGCTTCTGTTTTTCCTTCTTATGCTTTTCTTTGTTTTTCTTATGTGGCTCTTTACACTTTGAAGTACTGATGATGCTGCTATCTTCATCTGAAGTGGAATCCTCCAGTAACTTTTAACTGTTGTATCCTTACATTTTCCCCCATGTCTTTCAATCTCTCATATGATGTCATACATAGGATATTCTTGTGTTACTTGGAACTTTTGTTGCCTTTAATAAAGGGCAGTCTTTGTCACCTGTTTGGTGATCTTATCGTTTACATGTCGACACTGTATAGCTTTGACTTCTTTCCCCAGTGGCATCCACAGTCATTTAGTTGCTGCATTAGCCAGAAATTCCCTGGCATGTTCATTCCTGGTGCATCTGGCATACAATCTTCTGGTTTAGTCTTACCTTCCTTGATAAGCCCAGGAGAAGGTTTTTCATGAAAGGACTCACTCCAGGTGCTTGAGTTGCTGCAGCTGCTACGCATCACAGCAGCTGCCATTCCCAGTGTGGCTCCTGGCCCTCACCTCATTGCACTCTGGCCGAGCAGCGCTGTGGTTGGGAGGGTAGAACACTGGGTAGGTTTTGATGGGGTCAGTCTGCTAAATCATGTCTGCACCTCTATTGCCTTGTCCCTTGAGTAGGACCATTTCCCACTAGATTTGTAATCCACATGGACTTGGACTTTCTCGGGGTCTTGTCTATTCAGAGCTGTGAGCAGCAAGAACTCCATGCAGCAGGGTCAGCCTGGTCTCAGGTCTAAATCTGGCCCTTTGCTCAAAACTACTTATGTGATCCTTTTTTGTGTGTTTGGTTTTAGAAAGGAGTATGCCTGGTTTTGTATATAAGTTCCGGTCTTATTCTCTTAGTGTCACTGGAGTCTGAGAGTTGCAGAAGTCAATTTGCCTATCATTGTCCCCATGTGACCCAGGGCAGCCCCTGCATAAATGATTCAACACAACCAGATCCTGTCCTCTTTCGAGGACTGGTCTGTGGATGAGTCTTTTTTATATCTTTTCTTTAACCTTTTCTTGATAAGTGAAACCAAAGAGTTACTCATCTTCAATTTCTGTTTTCATCTGTCCCATCCCTCCTCTGTCTACCCTTTGTGCCATATCCTAATGATGTCTGGAATTGAAACTTGGAAAATGATAAAGACTAAATTTACAAATGGTTGTACAGTGGTACCCATCAGCCAAGGATCATTCTTTCATGAAATTGCATGCTGACCTGTGTAGGAGGTGAGTGCCAAGAAGTGAGCTAGGGGAGGGAGGAGATGACTATGAGGATGATCCAGTCAACTTTTGTATCAGTGTGAGTAAGTGATACACTGCAGCTGCCACCAACAGCACTTGCCTGGGGCTACATTAATACAGATTGTTTATCTAGAATTAAGAAATTCTCTATACCACACTGATTGCTCATTTTACTGTACTTTGTTGGATATTATTGTTACATTTGGAAAAACCAGTAAATCAAACATGTAAAAATTACTGACCAACTAATAATTTGACAAGGAAATAAAACGTATTAAATAGGGAAATGATAACCTCTTCAACAAATAGTGTTGGCAAAACTAGACTGCCATGTGCAAAAAGCTGAAACAGTACCCACATCTCAGCCACAAAAAATTAACTCAAGATAGATCAGGGACCTGGGAGCAAATCCCAAAATCATAAAGTTCCTAAGAGACAAACTGGGATCAAGCTTAGGAGGCCTAGTCTATGGTATAAAGAGACTGCCATATAAAGCCAGAAATACACACTCTCAAGAGGGTAAAATTGATGAATGGGACCTTCTAAAGAGTAAATTACTGTGTGCATCAAAAACATTTCCAACAGGGTAAAAAGAAAACCTACTGACTGGGAAAAAACATTTGGCAATACCAGCTCTGATAAGAATCTCAAAACGAAAGTTTACAGAATACTCCTGGCCCTCCACAAGAAAAAGACTGGTAACTCAGTTACAAAATGGGCAAAAGACATGGCAAGAATATTCACAGAGGCATGGCGCTCTGGTGGCCTAGTAGCAAGAAGCTGCACTGCAATCCCAGAAGTACGTGGTTTGAATCCACCAGCTGCTCTGCTGAAGAAGGAGAGGCAATCTCTTTCTTTACCAGTTAGATTTGATTTGATGGTACACACACAGAAAAATAACAATAATAATAAAAAATTCACAAAGGAAATTATTCGATTGGCCAACAGGCACACGAAGATATGTTTAAAAATCACAGGCTATAAGAGAGATGCAGATCAAAACCACAATGACATACCACCTCAATCCAGTAGCAGTGGCAAAGTAATAAGTAATAAATGTTGGAGAGGTTGTGGCAAGATAGGAACTCTTCCACATTGTCAGTGGCATTGTAAAATAGGACAACCACTCTTAAAGGCAGTTTGGTGCTTCCTCCAAAAGCTGAACATAAAAATTCCATATGACCCAGTTATTCCATTGCTTGGAATATATCCCAAGAAAATGAGAACTGAGGCTCAAATGAAGACTTGTACACCAATGTTCATAGCAGCATTATTCACCATTGCAAGAACATGGAAACAGCCCAGATGTCCAACCTCAAGGAATGGATTGAGAAATTGTGATACATTCATACAATGGAATATTATGCAGCATGCAGGAGCAGTCAGGAAATCAAAAAG